ATTGAATTTCATGAAATACTTGAGTCCTCTCTCTTAATAAAAAATAGATATAACTTCGTCATCCTCGTATTGCATCCCGTGTTACTTGGGCTAAATTTTGGAGACGTACGATATAATTTCTAGTAAATGAATTAAAGAAAATACGACCAAAGTAATGAATAGTAGAGAAGGGGATTACAAAAAAATTGGTCAAGTCTTGGGATCGGGTAGCAACAGGGAAAGGTTGTCAGATTTTTAAGCATGCCTTAAAAATAAAGGCATTATGTAGACAATGGGAAACCCTAACTCAATAATCCAGAAATTGCTGACTTTACCAGAATGGGTGTCGCTGGAGCGTTGAGACTTGAATATGTTTAACCTTGTCTAAGGCACAGAATGTTTAAATTAAACCATTATCGTAATTTTCCGTAAATTTTATTAAAAAAGCTTGACCTCAGATAATGTACTTGTTGCTCATCCCATTTTTCCTCACGGATTAGGCAAGTAATGCTTTTTCTGAGTCTAATACCTTTCTATAACAAAAATGATCACGTTTATTGGCAATCATATTCTGATGGTAGGATAGCAGGCAAGTAAGGTATTTATAACAAGGTAGGAGTAATGATCATCTCCAGTGAATAATTTCCCGATGCGAAAAAGGAATTATAGCATTTATACTCAAAAATAAAAGGCAAATACTGCCCTGGGGAGAACGTGGCTGTAAAGATTTCCCTTAGTGTTACAGTGCATGATGCAGAGATTAGTGGATTAATTTCACTAAAACACGACGGATGAATCTGTTGCTATTTGACTTCAATGAGACATTCAGCTTAAGGCGATTGACTAGACCTTTTTCCTCATTTTGGGCAAAATGAAACTGAGCATTCGTCCGTCATATAACAGACATCGTCAGAACTGGAACTCATTTATGCAGAATCTTCATGTCAAATATAAGACAAAAAGAATATCCGGATCTATTGTGATATGACTTTCCATTTCGAAGGAAACTTGATCGGAAGGAATTAGTGGTGCCGTCTTATCGGAAACCGATGCAGGATTGCCGTGTATGGAAGACTTTTGTATTGTGCAAAAAGTCCTCAGCTCACCGTCCCGCAACCTCGATCAGCCTGTGCTAAGCTTACGTCTGAACTGTGACAGACATCATCCGAGCAGGCATCCATACTTCACGAAATAAAACAATATACCAAACCAAGAGAAAAGGTAGCCGGCTGCAACACTAGTCGCCATTTTTATGCACCTAACCTTGCGGTCTTAATAAGGCATCCTAGGTTAGTTGGGTAAAAATAAGCGACCAAGCCTGCAGCTGGCTGCCTTTTCTCTTGGTTTACTATATTTTTGCTCTATTTCGTAAAGTATGCATTCTTGATATGACGATGTCTGTCATAGTACAGAAGGAAGCCTATCCCAGCTTCATCGGGGTCGAAGGACAGTCATGATTTCTTTGCACAATATGACAGTCTTTCATATGTTGTTTCAGGTAATAAAACATGACGAATTCCTTCCATTCATGATTTCCTACAAACTAGAAAGTCATGTATATATATCACTAAGGATTATTAGAAGCACAGTTTTTCTTCATATCTGGGTCTAACTTGCATGCTATGAATACTCAGAACTAAAAACAAAATAAACTAGATTAGGACAGATAGAGAATGAGTGATTTGCTTATAAATCTGCATATCTATAGATAACTTTTTCCGGTTCACAAATATGATTATTTATAACAATTAGGAAAGAGACGGATAAGCTTCCTGACTTGTTGAAGTTGGTTGACCTCGTCACAACTTGATCTTGTTGTCAGGGCTACTTAGCAGAAATCGAAAGGAGACTGCGACCATACGAGAAACCACACCATCTTGGTCTTCAAATCTTCAATTCCTGACTTATTGTTGACCTGACGCTTTTGCATGAATGAGCCTCAGCTCTAGCGATATCCGATTTTACCTGAAACTAGGGACCGCGTCAATCTTGAGGTAGTATTAATGCCAAACGGATGCAGTACAACGAGAATCGGCCGTCATCTT